CTCTTTCATAAAGATCTTTCCATATTTTTTTCCTTATCCTTGAGAATTTTAACATTATGGTATTACACCAAATTAATGTATCACAATTTACTTACACATTTCTTTACTTATACATTTTCCAGGCTCTGTACTTATAAGTAATACAACTTTGAATGTCTTTAACTAAATTGCTATTGTCACTGTTATTTTCAATAATGTTTTCTGTTGTATCCCCCAAACTGAATTATTAAGCCAAAGAACACAATTATTTTTTGTAACTTTCACTGTATATTGATAAATTATACTCCAAAAGCTAGAGATAAAGATTACATGACCACAATTCTAAGGTTTTGTGATTTCTGGGGAATCTCCAGCATAGATATATCCATTGACCCCAGATATTTCTCCCCATAGATACAGCAAGAGCACCTGAGGGATTATGAATGCCCTACGGAGGTCCCTTCTGTTCTCCCACCTCCTGCTGATGGGGACCAGATGATGATGTAAAGTCTCTTTCTCTGGTAAGAGTCACTGGAAAACATACGTCTTGGGGACTGGGAACTTCTCCTTTATCTCTTCTGATCTCTAGCTAACCTTAGAACTTTTCATAACTGACTTTACAAGTAAGTGATCTATCTCTCACCAGGAGATAAGACCTATCTCCAGATAGTGATTGTTCTGGGGGAAATAGACCTTTCCATTCAGAAGACCTTCCCTCAGCCAAAGTCCAGGTAAGGGAGAGACCACGGGAGTCTTGATTGTGATAGTTAATAATTTTAATGCTTAAACTCTTTATGAAAAAACATGTTTATACCTTGAAAATTAGCTATAGACTTCTAGGTTTACCTATAGGTGTGAGGATGTTGGTAATTGAGATGTAAAGAGGCAGCTTGGAATAGTGGGAAGAAGAAAGGAGGACCCAGAGGAAGAAGACCTATGTTTGAGTTCCATCTGTGATTGCTGTCATAATTATTCTCATAATATCATAAGATTCAGTGCTGAAATGGGTCTTAAAATTCAATCTTATTTTATAAATGAGGAGATTGAAGTTCATAGAGGTTGTATAGGTAGTAGAGCAGGCGACAAAGCCAGGTTTTGATTTAGGTCATTTCATTCCAAATCCAGAGTTCTTCCTAATAAAACACATTGCCTCTTATGCCTTTTGTTTATCTCAGGGACAGGAGATTGGCTTTATTTTATTTTTTAGAATCATAGAATGCAAAAAAATAAAATAATGAATGAATGTCAAAATATTTATTATTTGCTTACTATGTGCCATATTCTGCTAAATATTAAAGATACAATGCAAGCAAACAAAATAGTTCCAACCCATAAATACTAAGGGGGCTTAAATTCCAATGGTAGAAGACAACATGCAGTTGGGAGGGGTAAGAGGAAATACAAGCATAATAATCCAGGCAGAGGATTGACTGGGAAGTGGTGTGGTGGACTTGGGTAAGGGCAAAAATTGGTGAAAGCTCATCAATGAGAGCCCAGGGTTCCAAGATTTTGGCCATCAGTTCTGGTAGGAGGAGGAAGAGTAGGAAGAAGCTAGAGTGAAGGAGGCATGACATTCACAAATGAGGAAACTGAGGGCAGAAGGGACTTAATCTAATGTACCAAAGCAAGCCAAAATTTTACGGATGAGGCAGTACTAACCAAGGTCCAGCAACTTGCCTGGTCACACAATTAAAAGTTAGTAAATATGTAGCTAAATTGGGATCATTTTTAATTATTAATTTAAAAATTGGCAAACATATTTCAATATGCAAAGAGCAAAAAAGGACTATATGAAATTATCAACTTATTTTATGTTCAGTTGTCTTTTTAAAATGTATATTAAATTCAATAAAGTAGTAAAAAGCTGTTCTCCTTTGTGTCCTCTTCTGAATTTGTTTTTCTTCTATGCATGTTAAGATATTTTTATGATGCTCAAAAAAATAGATTCAAGACTAGGAGCCCTGCATCTTGATGCTAAATACAGTGTCCATATCCCCAGTATGACAAGAGATATAAAAACTGAAAATGAGGACTATATTAGCTGCTCATGAGCAATTGGTAAGGACTCATTAAATACTTTTGCCTAAAGAGACTCAAGCATAAACACTTGTTTGACTCCTTGGAGGGTGAATTGACTATTTGCATGTCCAGAATTAATGGATTTTCTGCCTCTCTTCTATTAGACAGCTGTCAAACTTCCAATAAGCCTTCCAAGACTGATGAGTGGAAAGGTGAGACTTTCTCCTACCTTCCCTTCTCTTTGTCCTCTTTGTTTAAAACTAAATGTAGGCCCAAAGCTTACAACGTGAAAGAATTATATTGAGTCATGCCCCAACCTTAATCATGTTCCCATACTTCTAAACTGTTCAGTTTGGGTTTGCCTGTGGAGTAAAATGGTAAAGGAAAGATGAAAGATAGTTGGGGCTGAGGAAGACAAATAGGGTACTTAAGAGTTGTTAGCAATGAGAAATGTGAGTGTGATAAACTATAGTGTAAAAACTAGAAATCTCACACCCCTGAAATCTAATTGTAATCCATCAGTCAAATAGATGAAATAGTCACTCAGCTGACATCAGTCCATCAACAAATATTTATTTAGCACTTATTGTATTTCTGGAACTTTGCTAAATACTGAGAATACAAAGAAATACAAAGCAAAAAAAAAAAAAACTGAACCCAAAGTCTTTGTGAGCTATAAAGTAGAAGGAGATAGAAAAGGGTAATGATTAAAGGAAATTTGTTAATTGTGGAAATGTGTTAATGCTGTTAGTTATGTTCCAGAGGATACATTGTGAGGGACCAGCAGATCAGGACTCCAGGATCTTCAGTGTAGTTTCTGGGAATGAGGGAGTGGCAGTGAGGATAGTCTTTGTATATCAGTGGCTGGAGAGTCTAAATCACTGGGTTGGTGAGAGAATAGTGGGTGGGGTTATGCTAACTATTGAAGAATGAGGCCAGGCAGAGTATCAGTAGCTGGGTAAAGGACCACTGGAAGAGGCAGGAGACTATACTTCAAGGTCTTTCCTTCAAATCAAAGCTCATGGCAGGTGGTGATGTTATTTTTTGTGAGGCCCTGAGAAGCCAGCTTTATAGGAGAAAGAAATTGAAGGCTTAGCCTGGGAAATGTGGGAGACCTGTCACAAAATAGGAAGAGGCTGTAAAAGGTAGGCCCTAGAAGCTAGAATCCAAGCAGTGTACAGGGAGGTCTTGGCCTGGCATGAACCTCCTTGGCCCACTGCTGTAGAAGGCCCTGGGGACTTGAAACGCTATATCCACCATCCTTCTATAGACAGTATGAATCTTGTTCTTATCAACTGTTGATTCCCTGGGGCCTATAGGTGTCTGTTCTCTTTCTTAATCCTTGTGTAATATAGTATAGCCCATTGAAGTTGAAGGTGAATACCCATCATCTTATATGAATCTTGTTTTTATGAATTGCCAGGCTCCTAGACACAGTTCTCTGGAGCCTAAAATAAGAATTTGATTATTAATTTTTTTCTTCTCTTTAATATTTACAAAGATGATATACAATTGTCACAGAGCTGCTTCCCAGGGAAAATAAGTAAGTTACAATGCAGTATTCTCAGAGGAATATGAACTCAGCTTCCTCTTTATCCTAGTCTTATATCCTTTGCAAGAGGATATCTTGAAAGATCCAAAGAATAGATCATCATTCTGTGGAGGCACATCTATTCACAAGATTATGAGAAGAACTTCACATTTCTAAAGAAGAAAAACATTCTTTGTCTTGTTAAGAAGCTCTCCCTTTTCTTCTAACTAATTTCATGGGGAAAAAAGAAGAGATACTTAGGAAGGCTACACAATAACTACAAGATAAGAGAGGAATGAAAATAATTTCAGGCACATTAACAAGATAGGGAAAAGATTTCTATTGACTGAAGATGTTAACAATGGCAAGATTAAATTAATTTATTAAACACATACCTCTCATTGACATTTACAGCTATTTACAATCTGACTCTAGCTTATTTCCAAGTTAATTGAACATTCCTCACCTTCATGCACCCTGTGATCCAGGTAAATCAACCCATGAGCTACTCCCTATATACAACTTTCCATCTCCCGCCTTTATGATTGTGCATAGATTATCCCAGAATCCTGGAATACTCTCTCTCTGAGCCTCTTGGCATCACTAGCTCCCTCCAATGCTTAGCTCAAATTCCACTCTTTCAGATCGTTCATGATTTCCCTGTTTGCTAGTAGTACTCCCCACCATCACTGTTGTTGCTATTTTATAACCTATATTTACCTGTGAACATTGTATCAAACCCCACCCCCATCCCTGGGCTGTGTTAGCTCTTTGAGGTCAAGGAATATCTTACTTTTGTATTGCTATCCAGTAACAGAATATCTTGCACATAGTAGGCTCTTAATAAATGCTTGTTGACTAAACATGTAACTTGGATAAGACTTGGAGTTAAGGGCTACAAATATTATAGGAAAATGTAATTTGGTTTTCCTGGTTTTCTTCAATGCTTATTATTTATATTCCTGTTTTTGCCAGTATACTTGTCTCACAATTCAGCTCTGAAAGTATAGGAATGGGTATATCTATATAGTGACCATCACAAAGCCTCACTTAAGTAGATAACAAGGAAAGATTGCTTAGAGGAAATTATAATAATCAGGTAGACTAACTCTGGCCTCTCTTACTGTAGGGACTCAGGACTTAGAGAATGTTGCACTGACATCTGACTATAATGATGTCATTCAACAACAGTCACTTCAGACCCTTTCTTCTGACTGGCTTTCCTGGCTTGGAAGCATCTCATCCACAAATCTCTATAGTGCTCTGCTTTCTTTACTTGATTGCCATTGTGGGCAATGGCACCATCCTGGTAGTGATCTGGGAGGAGCAGACGTTACATGAACCTATGTACCTCTTCCTTTCCATGCTAGCAGCCAGTGACCTGGGCATCTGTGCCACCACCCTGCCCACTTTGCTCAAGCTCTTCTGGTTTAATGTCCGTGAAATCAACTTTGATGCCTGACTTGTCCAGATGTACTTTATCCATGTCTGCTCCCTCATGGAGTCGGGCATCCTGCTATCCATGGCTTTTGATTGTTATGTGGCCATCTCTAACCCCCTCCGGTATACAGCTATCCTGACCAATTCCACCATTATGAAAATTGGTTTGGGAATCCTGGTTCGGGCTGTCTCAGCAATCTTCCCAGCACCATGGCTCATTAAACAGATTAAATTTTATAAGGCCAATGTCCTTTCCCACTCCTATTGCCTGCACCCAGACATCATTAAACTCTCTTGTTCTGACAATAGGATCAGCAGCATCACTGGTCTCACTGTCATCATTTTTACCTTTGGTATGGACTCTCTGCTCATCCTTCTTTCCTACCTAAAGATCTTCATCATGGTGCTGGACATTGCCTCTCATGAGGAGCAGCTCAAGTCTCTCAATACCTGTGTCTCCCATATCTGTGCTGTCTTGCTGGTCTACATCCCCATGCTGGGTGTATCCATCATCCACCGCTTTGGGAAGTATGTCCCTCCTGTGATTCACATCATTATGGGTTATGTCTACTTGCTGATTCCCCCTGTTCTCAACCCCATTGTCTACTGTATCAAAAACCATGAGATTCGCACTCATGTCCTTAGACTCTTTCAGCCAAAATAGGAGGAAAAGAAAGCAACAGTTGCTCAGAGGAGAGGGAGAAAAGCTTAAGCAAATAGTAATTATTAGCTAATAGCTAACTGTCTCTGATTCACTAAAATAGTAACCTAGTAGAAAGTAAAGAAGGCATCAAAGATAATGATGATATCATTGTTATTTTCATGATTGTTGGTACTAATAAATGGTATGCCTATCTATTGGATTCCATGAATTTCATGAAAATTTAATTTGAGAGACCTACTAATCACTTGACTATCATTTTAGCATTTCTCTAGTTCAGTGATTGTTACATCTAATAGTACGGTAACAAATAGTTCTGCCTCATAGACAGCAAACAGTTCATTAAAACTATAGTATTTTGTTAGTAAATAATTGTGTCTGTGAAGTCTTAGAATTACATTTCCAGAAGAGCAATCCTTGCTGGAGAAAACCTTAAGGAAACTTTACAATACCCATGAATGAGGCCCAACACTTAGGAATGCCACTACTTTCCTCCTATGTCAATTTTAGAAATTTATGAATTTCATGACATGAACAGGAAAAAAAATATCTCAACCCTAGCATCCCTATCTATTCCTTATGCATATGTAATTGAAATATTCCACAATCAATTTTCATGAAGGGATTTATTGCATTTTATATAACTAATAGGTGAAGATCCATGGGGATGAAGATATTCTACTCTGTATTGTATTTCTTTTACCTGTACTACGAATGTTGGTCTCATGATCACCCTTAGGTTTCTGAGTCTGTGCTAATTCTGACTTCATGGGCCTTATAGTCTGGTAAGAAGACGACAAAAGCAGAGATAATTATAATAAAAATTACATACCATATTTAAGCAAATCCATTGAGATTGACCACACTTCACTTGTAGGCTACCCTTCATCCTGCCACATGACCTGTTCCCATATTTAACCTTGTAATTTTGAGGTATAGGATCATGTGGGGCTTATGTTTTGATTAGGGTTCCCTAATCATCTTGAGAAGACCATTGATAGTTCTCTTGAATTCACATTGTCATGCTACTTGTGATTGATTCTCTCCTTCATTCTCTTGGGATCATGTAAAACAAAGTTTCTTAATCATGAATCACTGAACTTTTTCTATTAAAATATTTTGAGAACATTATTTCTGTTAAATTTGTCCTCTTTTATATTTCTAATTATTTATTTTAGTCATTTAAAATTATTCTTAGAAGGCATCTATAGGATTTGCCAGACTACCAAAAGGGCTCCTGATATGAAATGGTTTAGAACCATTGCTCGGAGCTGGGCCCAGAGATAGTTCTACTTAGATCTATCTGGGCTTTGTAAATTTTCTCAGGATGGACAGCACTGGTTTATCCAGCCATAACTCTTGCTACATGATTAATCCATCTTATTGTCCAAACATGCATTTCTGATAATATGCTGTTTCTTGCACTGTTACTGTTATAAACACCCTGTAGCCTCCCTTTACCCACTATGTACCCTTCCATTGCCCTCTGTATCAGTCACAGGTTTGAATTTTCAAAAATGATACTTCAAGATATAGCATCACCATAAGAACATACAAATATCCTTTAAAATTTTTATAAGAGAACTATCCTGAAAATATGTGCATATTCCTACATGGATTAGAGAAATATTTTCCTATAATTTATTTTGGATTGCCACCTCTTAAGGCTGAGGGAAACTCTCTCTGTACATTGATCTATTCTGTTTTGGTTAAGAAAATGGTGCCTTAGAGCATTAGCTGGATTTCTATATCACGATTTAAAATATAGGATTGCTGACCAAGGAGGGAGGACTTAACAAGAATATCTTTCCTTGGAGTCTTACAAAGCTAACAGGAAGGCCTTTAATATAAATATAACAGGAAGATAAATTCCTATGTAAAATCTACCAAGATAGGTGCTGTAGAAGTAGAAAAGATGTAGAAAGAAAAAAAAAAGTAATAGCAGAATGTCTGGGAATTTACTTTTTCCAGAAGAAATTCACTGATTTTTTCTCTTTCTGTTCCCTCTTCTAGTGTGAAGGAAACTTCACCAGTGATGGATACTAGGCCACAAGAGAATCCAGCCATTAATGAGCTGGAGAGAGGGAGAAGAGGTAGGAGGGCAGAAGTTATAATGAAGCTATGAGAGGCAGCAGAGCCAGACTCAAAGGAAAGCAGTTGGTTAGGGCTTGGAGTTTCCATTTAGCTTCATTAACTAGTATTTTGTTTATTCAGAGAACATTTATTAAATATCAATTGTGTACATAGCTCTGTGCTAAATTTTAGGGAAAATACAGCATTAGGTAACACAATGGACTATGATTTCATGGTCCTCATAGTCTGGTGAGAAAAGACAAAAGCAGAGATAATTATAATAATAAAAAATACATACCATATTTAAGCAAGTACATTGGGATTGACCACACTTCAATTGTAGACCACCATTTACTCTGCCACTTGACCTGGTCCCATATTTAATCTTGTCATTTTGAGGTATATAATCATCCAGGGGTTATGTTTTGATATTTTTTTCATTAGTGAGCAAATTTGTGGCCTCTTTTTAATTTGTTCATTTTTATTTCATTTGTCTTCACTTGAACCCCTATCCCAATTTTTTCAATCAAATAAACTAGAAAAAAACTTCATTTTCTAATAGTACTCTCTACCTACATATTAAATTCCTTAATCTCTTATGATTAAATATTATATTTACTAAGTATATTTTACTAATATATGAAATAAAAATGAAATAAAAACATAAATAAGTATTCATACTATTTTATGTGTGAAAAAGATCACATTCAGAGTTATTCTAAATCCTCACTATAAGAAAAAATGGCTTCATTCACTTCTAGTAATATAATCACATCACATCAGTACATTCAAGATGCCAGTTAAAATCTCTCAAGAATACTCCTATTTCTCCTCAGGAATCAAATTTACCCTCTCTCAGCAAATAAATTACATAAGTCTTCTTTTTTACCTCTTTGGTCATCACGAGGAACATTCTCTCCAGAATATGCTATAAACTGTCAATTTTTTTCAGATTTATAATAGAATTTTTGATATTTACTACCCAAACAAAATCCTGGCAGCTATTGTCTACAGACACCCAGGCTACTCCCCTTCCTCAATCAATTTGGTACTTTGCTCACAATTTTTCTTTCCTCCCTCTCTTGCCCTCATAGTAGGAAACTTTAACATATTCTATTTACTTTCTCTCAAACTCCCTAACTAGCAGTTCCTCAACCTATTCACTTCCTATGATCTACTCCTCCACTCTACTTCAGCCACACAGAAATATCAACATACACTTGATTTTGCCTTCATTCATAAATGTACCACCTCCATGTTTCAGAATGAGTAAATCCATTTGTCTGATATATTGACTTTTCACCTCCCTATTTTCCCTTACTCTTCATCCCCACTGTAACCTTGGATCATTTGATCCTTCAATTCTCTCGCTATTACCTCCCCTGCACTAGTCACTTTCTCTTCTTTTCCCAGTCTTGATTCCTTTGTGAAGCAATTGAACTCTACCTTTCCACCTCTCTTGACTCTTTAGCTTCCCTCATCATTTACCTGATAATGCCCTGCCAAGCCCCACCCTTGGATCACTGCTGCCATTCACTTCCTTTGTTCCTTTTACCTTGTGCTGCACAATGAAGGTGGAGAAAATTGTGTAATCATTCTTGCTGGGTCTACTACAAATGTATGTTATGCAACCTCAACTGGGCCCTCACTGCATCTAGGTAATGCTACTGTATCTCCCTCATCAACTCACCATTCTACTCTCCACAGTGGCTTTTTATTCCTTTTCATCCATCTTCAAATTTCCCATGGCTCCACTTCTATCCACTCTCTCAACTGAGAACCTCGCTTCATATTTTACAGAAAAAAAAAAGTTGAAGCCATTCTCCATGAACTACCCCTCTTCTCTCATCTTTTTGATTTCTGGTTACTTTGTTGCTGTCTGACATTATCTCCTCTTTTCATAAGATGAAGCAGCCTTGCTCCTTACAATAGCTAATCCTTCTACTTGTTCAATCAATTCCCATTCCATCCTATATCCTCCAACAGTTTGCCTCTTCTGTCATTCTCACTGTTTCCTTTATTTTAAATCTTTTTCTCTTTGCTGGCTTCATCCTTACTAACTACAAATATGCCCATGTCTGGCCATTCTGAAAAAAGACCCTAATTTGATCCTTCCATCCCTGTTAACTAATGTTCTATCTCATGCTGTTTGAGGCTAAAGCCTACAATAGGTCTCTTATCTTTTTCTCTTCTCACTCTCTTCTTAAATCCTTAAAGTTTGGCTTTTGATATGACCATTCAACAGAAGCTGTTCTTGCCTAAATTACTAATTATCTTTTAGTTGCCAAATCCAGTGACCTTTTGTCAATCATCATTTTCTTTGACTTCTCTTCAGCCTTCAACATTATTGATCATCCTCTCCTCTTTGACACTCTCATCTCTAGTTTTTTGAGACACTGTTCTCTCCTGGTTCTCCTTCTACCTGTCTAACCACTCTTTCTCTTTTTCATTTTCTGTATCCTCTTCCAGATCAAAACCTTTTACTACAAGTGTCCCTCAAATTTCTGTCCTGTGCTTTCTTCTCTCCTCCCTCTATACTACTTCACTTCATGATCTCATAAGCTCCCATGGATTTAATAACTGTCTATATGCTTATGATTCTCAAATTAGCCTATCCTACCTCAACTTTTCTTCTGACCTCCAATCTCACATCTCTAACTACCTTTCGGACATCTCAAACTAGATGTCCATTAGACATTTTAAACTAAACATATCCAAAACAGAATTAATTATCTTTCCCTCTAAACCTTTCTCATCCCATCCTACCTTCCCTATTACTGTGGAGGGCAACACTATCCTCCTGGTCCCTCAGGCTCACAACTTAGGAGAATATTGGATTCCTCCTTATCTCTCAGCCCCAACTCCATGCCCAATCTGTTGCCAAGACGTGTTAATTTCATCTCTGCTCATCTCTCGTATGCACTCTTTTT